CATTAAAATCATATCATTAATATGAATGTAATTAGAATTTCTATTGACGATTAGACCATTTACGACCAATGTCCGTTTCTTCCTGTAAAAAGTTATAAAAATAATGTAATTAGAAAAGACATTTTATGAATTTTGATATTGTTTTAAGCTTCTAAATAGATACAAAATTATCACGTTATTTTTATATTTATCATAAATATCAACGCATATTGATTGAGAGAATATTTAATAAATTATAATGTTTTTGAAAAGCATCATCTGAAAAACATGTAAAGTTATAAAAAAATCTATTTCTATTATTGGACATTCCATAAAGTTGTCATATTTAATTTGCATTTCAATGTTTTTGACTAATAAATTGGCATTCATAATTTATTTGCGATGCACCATTTTATTGCGAGGAGAAATTCCTTCTATTTGATGTTACAATATATCAGAAATCGATGGTAATTTTGCGGAACTATGTAATGACCGTTTATACATTCGCGCACAGTTCGATAACGCCGGCGCTAATAATAACACGAAAATTATATAGCCGTAAATTATTTAGATATTTCATTATATCTCCCCGATATTGCGCTTACGCATCAGCCACATTGGAGTCATCTTTCCTGTGCATAATATCACGTTACCACAAGTAATGAGATTTCACTGCATATCGCCATTATCATTCTATTAGTATTTATACGTATTATGACATACAATTCTGTCCTTTTTCTTTTTATGATATGTATTATTTAAAATTTTATTTAAATTTGTTATACACTCAACTGTTACGTTGGAAGATAACAGTTATTTATTTAAATAGAATAAAAATTGTCGCAATATTTGTCAGAAAAGATTAACATTGTATATCATATTATATATTGTATAACTTAAAGTTAATACGATTATTATACAGTTTTATCAACATTTTACTAATATTATTTATTATTATTTTATCATTAATATTTTTCATTTATTTTATCATCAATATTAAATCTTTTATATATAACCTAATTGTATATTAAAAATTGATTAAAATTGATTAAAATGCGTTCTTATGCTTGTCACGCGATGTTATTTTTTGATTTTTGTATGTGCTGCTTATTAAATATTTGAAGTATACACATGAGAATAATTTAAAGTTTGCAAATGTGAAAGAATTCTGTCTTTTTTATTCCAAATAAAATAAACTGTACGATGTAGATGAACTTCCGAAGCAATAGACATTCGATACATCGAAAAATCTGCGAGAAACGTAGCAATGAATGCATGAAAACATACCGACGCCTGGAGCAGAGGAGAAAAGTCGCATTGAAAAGCATTGTCGGCGAAGTCCATAAAGGAGGATCGATGATGCTGTGCGAAGGTGTCGTTTCGCAGCATCGGGATTGGAAATCGGGTATCCGGATTATCCTTTGGCATCTTCTGGTATATCACGGGATGCTGCTGAGTTTAGGTATACCAGCGGGGTATAAGGAAGGGGTGCAACGAGGCTGCATTGCTGAAGCAGCGGTAGCAGCAAGACGGTGGAAGAGGATCCTTTATACGATCGCCTTGGCTTGAAGAAGCGAGAAACTGCGACAGAACGTTCTCTCGATATTCTCCTTCCCTTCCCTCCTTCCTCCTATCCTCCTCCTTCATTTGCTCCACCATCCATTCTTCATCCTCTTTTCCACCTCCTTCTCTTGCTTCTCCTCCTCCTCCTCCTCTCTCCC